CCTTGCCCCGGGCCAGCCCCCCCGCCCGGCGCCGCCCGGGTCCCGGGGCAGGAACGCCCCCCCGCCAAACCGCCCGCATTTGGGTTTTTTTAAAAAACAAAGGTGGTTTGGGAGGCGGGTGCTCGTGGTGCGGGCGGGGGTGACTGGGTGGGTCTCGCCGCACCGCTGCCGACAGCACCGGGATAGTTGCTGGGGGCGGAGAAACCGGGTCCACTCGACATCCAGAGGAGCGCGGTGCCCGGACCTGCGGGGGTCCGCGGTGGCACGCTGCAGACCCAGCCTGAAAAAGACGGGCGCGCATTAGCGGGAATGAACAGCCGTTAGGGAACCCAACGTTATATGAATAATCGAAAAATCGCGTTCAATTATGTTTTAGGGTTAATAGTTAAATTGCGGCTACAAAATCTTTTTATGTTTCATGGTTTACTGGTGGTGTAAAGAATCTCCATCAGGTCTGATCGCCTCAGCTCATAGCTACGCTGCATATGCTTTTAAAATGTGAATGTTTCCAGTTGAAAACTAGTGCATGACAGATTAAAACGCAGGGAAAACCTGGGGGAGATTTTGAAAATGCACACATGACAACTCTAGAAATATATTAACCGCGAGCGTTTGCCGACTTTGGACTCCTTTTAAAATGCAGCTAGCCCCTGAAAATTATTAATACAACAGTGAGAATCTAATGGAGGTTGGAATCTGAAAATCTACCTTGATGATGTCTGCTGTTACAGTAATATAGACATACTGTAAACGTATTTTAAAATATATAGCCCATTTAATTCCCCAGCTATAAATGGGTTAGAGGGAGAGAGAGAGGGAAGGGGAGACAATATCACTTTTGTTTTTCTTTTTTTTTTTTTTTTTTTTTTTTAGAGGCCGAAGCTTTATGAAGATCTCATTGGAATCCAGCGGATGATTAATGTGAAGATTTGGTAGGAAATCTGGAGAGCTGTATTAAAGCTCAGATCTCAGGTTCATTTCGATCAGCCAGCCGTGAACTCTGGGCCGAATTCATTACACTTTAATAGTGCTGGGAGAGGAAGAAAATGCAATTTCTCATTCCATTAGAAAACTAGAAAATACTCTCAGCTTGTCCCCTATTAAGATGTGGCAGGTGACGGGACCATTGTGGGGGACACGGTCAATGGAATTACAGCACATTATTTTTGTTCGTATAAAATATTGAAAGGCAAGCCTGACTGTGCAGAAGTTATTTCACTGATTTGGTTTTTATGTAAATAAAATATTGAAAGTTAATTAATCCGTGCTAGAGACTAATGATTATGCTTATTATATTGCATTTGATCGCGTAATTTGCATGATTCTCGCATTGCTGCTTAATAAGCCATTCCAGGTTATAAATAATTCTGAAATTGGTTTCTAATAATGGCATGCTATAAAAAGAATGGTTTTATTACACCAGCCTGAAAAGCAGAGCAATATCAGACGTGGAATTGAACTCCCGTTTAAGCACCAGCCGCTTTAATAATTATTTAAATGTATCATGTACATTAAATATAGATCGAAAATGAGGGAAGAGGTGATTTATCCTAGCATCTAAAACCCTTAAAAACATATACAGCCGCTATAAATTAACTATTTGGAGCATTCCTTAATCAGTGTGGAGCCCACATACTGCAAGGAATGTGTAGGCAATCTGTTAACTATAAAGAAAACTGTAAAGTACTCGCATAAGAACATAAACCAATTACTATTTAATTTAAATTTGGTCAAGGAGCAGTGATACATCGGATTGTGAAGTAAATACATTTTACATAAATTATTTTGCCTTAGATTACATAATGTTAATCATTTTGAAGTGTTAATTAAGAAGGTTATGTTGATCTGATTACTTTTTAAAGTACAGAACATTATTGTAAAAAATATTTAAATTGCCACTCTATTAAACTGTTTTATCAGCAGTCTCGAGCTATTAGCATTGGTTTAAGATTATGCCGAGGCCATTAAAACACTTTGTCTTTCTTCCTAGGAATTTCTTTGATGTGCTGTTAGAAAATAACTATTTCCATTTTATATTTTATATTTTACTTCATTTACCACACTCCTAATATTGAAATTGGTATCATTAACCTTTGGGAAACCCAATAAAGTTTAATAGACCTCGTTTTCTTTTTTCATAGAGTCAGTTGTCCAATTATATTTTATTTGTGAATCTAATTTCTTTCTTAATTTAAACTAATTATGGTCCTGCGTAGGCTGAGTCAAATTGTTGCACTTTTTAAAAGCAGACGTGCGTTTTCTGTCACGTTCGAGAACGGAGTCGGTTTCCGTTCGTAAAAACGTTCCTTTAGGGAGTTCGTTTGGCGTGTCTTTATTTAGCTGAGGAGCCTAGGCTTGCCGAGGAGGATTGTGAACACCGGCCGCGGAAAGGTGCGGCGGCGTTCCCGGTGCGCGGTGCTGAGCCGGGACGCACACCCCACAAGCGCTCCCATCGTGCAGGCTCTCGTTCCTGGGAAGCGACTCGCCCGGCAAGTCGCGAAAATACCCCTCTGCGCACAAAAGCCGCACCTGGGCAGCCTAGCGGCTGGATCCGTCTCCCCCTTTCCCAAATTTCGTTTACATTTATGTGACTAAATAGTTTCTTACGTGCCTGTCTGCAAATACATTTATGCCTGTGTGCACATGTATATATATGTACTTCAGAGAACAAGGTGCACCCTCGATGTTGAAG